AGGTGGTGTTGGCAAAGTGTGGTTAAAGAATACAGCTTTAAAATAGATACCCTTGAATTAGATAAAGAACTTGACATCAATGGACATGTAAGATGTAACCTTCAGTAGAAACAGTGAAACAGTCCTCTGAAAGTTTGAAAGGTTTGAAACACAGGAAAATAATCAATAGATAGAGAAGACAAAGTTGCATCAGAGCATTCAACCTAAAAAGTACCAAATAACTTCAGCTTTTGTGTATTTTAGTAGGAAATTAAGTTTGCTAGGGAGCTCTGGAGAGTCTTTCAAGACTTTGAAAGACTTACCTTCTCATGCTAATTCAAGTATTTATATTCACATAAACTCAGTTTGGAAAGAGAATGTGTGTTTCTTGCTGAAATCCGCTGTTCAAGTTTACTGCTGAATAGGAATGAAGAGTTGATCCATGCACAAGCACTCTGGGATTTTATGCTGGTTGAAGTAAACGAAGGAACTTTTGATAATCTTAGAAAATTTTCAGAACAAAGTGTGTGTGTGGCAGGGTTGTGGGGATGACAGAGGGTCAGATTTTTCATTTTTTCCCTTCACTGCTCTTCTGACACTGCAGATCTGTGCAGAATCACGCTCATACAATTTTTCTGTACAGAACGAAGGATGGGATGAGGATGGCATGAGGATAGTAGAGGATAGGATGTAAGAATATCAAATATGTAATGCATGTTGCTGAGTTCCTTCTGTCCATTACTGATAGAAACGACTTCATGCAGATGTATGAAAGGAAATGTAAAAGCTTAGAATTACTGCAGCTAACAAAATATATATTATTACAATTGCTTTTAATGAATTGCCATCTCAGGTGAAAAATGTTAACTGGCATAAATTTTAGAGATGGTGTATAATGTCAGCACCAGAATCTCTCAGGAGCAGGGCATCAGTCTTCAAATACCAGTATTTCAATACAACTTTATACAACTGTCTGTCCTCCTGTAATTGATCTTGTATATTGCTTATCCCTTACAACACATTCTCCTATTGCATGTACAAAGTAGATTTCGTTTCTTGTTTATGTGTACAGTTCATTCTTTTAAAATATTTTTAAAATCCATTAAAAAATATTGAATTGATTTTGTACCAGCTTCTTCACTGGAAGTCTGAATTGATCACTTCCTTTGTTTTCAAGATAATATTAACTTGAGGCACTGATTGGGTTCTAGTCCGTAAGTCAGTGTAGAAATACATAATTCTTACTGAATTTTACCTCTTTACTAAATTGTAGCAGACTGTTCCATTCTTATTTTATAGTTGCATCATTGGTGATCTGGTGGCTCACAATAGGTAGGGGCCTTGCTGAGAGTAGAAAATAAATGGCTTCACTTTAAATGATCTCTGGACAGTTAATAGAGGCCCGTAACATAGAAACTGGTGGGTCCTTTTCCCTTTCCTCCTTTTGAATATGATCAAGTTTACTAGAAATTTATGTGTAAAATTCCACCATTACAGTCAAACACATACAGAAAGCACTGACCTATCTAAGACTCTCCTGTAGTTTTCAACTTGAGCCACTTCTTTCTCTTTTGCTTAAAAAAGTTACTGTTCAGCAGGAAATAAGATGGTCTAAAGCTAGCAATCTCAAAAAAAAAATCATAGACTGTAGCACTGGAAACCATATTCAGATCGTAGCAACTGAGTTTTGTTTTGACAATATTCAATTAAGTACATTCAGATATGTATCAGACCTCTTTTTTTTATCATGTCTTAATGAGATCATAACATTTTGATGGATTAAAGAGGCCCTATAAGGCTCAAAATTCCCTCATGTTGAAAGATGTCAAAAGAAAAAACTGGTCAACCACGAGAATACACTTGGAGACCTTTCCATGCAACAACAGCGAGAAGATACTCCAGTCTCCACCCTTTAGGATTCATAGGTGGAATCCCCTCTTTTTTTTTCTCAGAAGACAAATAGCATTCATTCTGCTTCTACTGCAAGATTTACGTAAAGACACTTATTCTAGCCTTAGCATTGCTGTAGGAAGTGAAATATACTGCACAGCCACCAACAGTGCTGTAGAAAGGCATAAGGTAAGAAACATGAAAGGTAGATCTCACTTTCCACGGATTATCCAACTGCTAGTTTCTTTCATTTTATCTTATTGATCTTCAATAGGAACCAACTTTTTTTTAATGTGTATCATGAATTATTCTTCTGCATCCTGACATGTATCTTCGGCATCCTGGTCATGTAAGGTCACAAGTGCTTTTCCCTCATCCTTATTTCCTTAAAATAATGAACCCAAGAAGATTCAGTCCTATGAGAAAAATCCTATTCCTGCTTTCCTGCTTTGTAATTCACTGAAAGGAAGCAGGAGTTACAACTCTCCAGCCACAGCTCAGAGGATTTCCTCTAAGAGTTCTAATTCCAGAGGAAGAAGCATGTTTTTTCCTGTTAAATTGGATGGCAAAACTAAGGAATTAGTTAAAATACCCAGCTTGCTTTCTCCCTGTTTTCTTTTGTTTGGGGTTTTTTGTGGGTTGGAAGTGGGGGATGTGTTAGGTTTTTAGTACCTTCTTATCACTCTGCTTCGCAGAGAATAATGGGGAAGAATGCATTAGGCATTTCCTGAGCTGCTTCAGTAACTTAAGGAGCTTTGTATCTCCCGATATCAATTAAGTCACTTTTGGTTTTACCAATTAAAACTGTAATGTCTCTACAGCTTTTCGGGGGTCAATATACAAGTCAATTAATTGATAGCTTGTCAGTGCTCTCTTTTAAGCCTGGCAACCACTTACATTTCCCACATACACACAAAGAAGTTGAAATTAAACAGACTGTCACTAGGAATGGAAAATCTCACCTCAGGCATGAAGAGAAACCACAGAAAGCTACAATTTTACTATTTGGAGATGACCTTCAAATCTGTTGGTTTATTTTCTGGAACAACAGCTGATGTTTATACTGTATCACATTGTATTATTAGAACTGATACACATCTGTTCCATATTTCATCATCTGGAAAGGCCAATTAAAAAGAGTAGCCTAAAATGGTAGATTTAGTCTCTAACAGCAACATAGAAGGAAGTAGTCACTAATCATGGGTACATCTTAAAATGAAATTAGGGAGCAACTTAACAGATTAAAACTCAGCTCATCCTTATATGCTGCCATTTGAGACCGTTTCTAATTATTTTTTCCTACTAGTTTTCCAATGACTTTTCATTTTCTCTTTTCATTAGAGACCTCTTGGTCAAACTCTTTTCTCATTTATACCAGTATAAATCTGGAATAAGTCCTTTACATTTAATTGCATTATTCTTGATATACTTTAGTGAGTCTGAGAACAGAATAGGACCCTTTTTCTTTAGCAATAACCAAACTGTCCTTCTTAATTTTGCAACCACGCTGAATCGAGCTTAGGTAGAAAAAAAAGTCTCCAAAGTTTGAATAGACTAAGTTTTCTTATTAGGAAAAGACATCTATTAAAGAGGACAGTGTTCTGCCTTCCTACTTGGTAGGAAGTTGTTGCATTGAAAGGCCTGGGATTTTAAATTACCTGTCAAACAGAATTTAACTCTGGATGCCTCAAAAGTAACCTGATCCTGCAATGGCAGAAAAAGAAATCAGTTGCTTTTATATTGTATCTTCCTAACGGTGATCACTGTGGAAGACTTTGTGCTGTACCCACAGACAGCTGTGTGATTGTAGGTAACAAGATTCAGTGGTCCCCCAAGATTTCTTTAGTGGCTGCTGCCCAACAGCACCATGAGTCCCAGCATAATGTCATGGCTGTGGCTGTTCTGTGGTCCCCAACGCCACCCCTCAGGAGCATGAAATATTGTTAGTGATCAGAAGGCAATCAAAATGGGGTATTATGGGGACAGAAAATCAAATGCAATGTTTATTTTCAGAAGAAAGCTCATGAAGTAAAATTGTTTTGATTTTGAACTGTCAATGAAAATATAAGCTGTAACTTACCTGCTTGTTTCTCCACTTGTTTTCCTGCAGTGTTTCTATACAGGTTGCTGTATCTTCCAGCCCTCCTTCCAAGCAGGTTGCAACTGTTGTCAGTAAAGAAAAAGAAATATGTATCAGCATATTTGGCAGATAAAATTTTCAATAGGGAATAATCATTTTAGGAGAGCTTTTTCTGCTAACTGACTTTAAGAAAGAGTTTCCCTACTTTCCTGAAAACTATTCCTTTTTGACAGAATCTCAGCTTGGTCACCCAAAATCTGAGCCTTCCCAGACATTAACTACTTTGTAAATACAGGATTTTTGAACCGCTTTTCCTTCCCAGCGGCATCACAATCATACAGGGATTGTTTTATCTGCCCTAGAAAAGATCTATTTCTTTTCTCTGTTTATTAGCTGTTTTTAAAGCAGGCACCAAAGATCCTAATGAAACTTGGCTAGGACCTCTTAAGACCCTTGTACCCAAAGGTCATAAGAGTTCAAATGAAAAGGTTGATTCGATTTGAACCATCAAAGTAAACTCCTCAAGTAGCAATTATGGCACTTGAAATATAAAGTCATTACTTTGTAAGTCCTGCATAAGCATGCCAGAATTTTGTTCTAAATAATTTTTAAAAGTACTGTTTCTGTGGACTCTGCTATACATTCTCCCATGGAGTAGAGTATGTTAGCAAATTCCTATGCAGAACTAGGAAGGAAGAGCTGTGGACAGATCCCTTAGGGGGTGGTGGATCTGCAGGTGTATATAAGACAAAATTCACAGATCCACTGATCAACAGTTTTAGACAGGAGTTATTTCATCATCTTCATTGCTATGACTGGTGGCAATTATTTAGGTCTTTGAGAACAGCCATCATCCACAAATTTAGAAAGAGGGATTAATTCCTCTGACTTGCTGCTGAACTGTGCGTCTCTGTTCCTGTAACAACTACACAGAGTGGGTTTTAGCATGAGAGACACCAAAATTACAGAGCATTGTTAAAGTTTTTATTATTAACTTATTGTTGTACCCTTCATATTCTGAAAGTTTATTTTCTTGTTGTTATTGTTACAGCGACGTCCAAGCAGATGGCCAGCAATGAAATTCAGAAGAGGATCTGGACATCCTGCCTATGCTGAAGTGGAACCAGTTGGAGAAAAAGAAGGGTTCATTGTATCAGAGCAGTGCTAAAATTTCTAGGACAGAACACCAGTACTGGCCTACAGGTGTAAGACATTTACTTTGCCTCTCTTTAAAGAAAAGGAGCCCTAAGCTGCTGTAGCCTGATAGAAAGAAGATTTTGGATAAGCTTTGTCCAAGAAGAAAAACTATCTAAGATACCAGATTACCACTGCATAGTAGTTTTTGTTAGTGGACTGAGACACAATGGTTCATGCAGAACACTTGTCAGTGGACACCTACGGTATCAGAACTATGGCACAAGTGCCATGTTATTGGCTTTAGGTATGGGGATGCACAATAATCAAAAATATAATAAAGCTTTGGTGCACAAGGGTATTGCCCTTTGGTTCAAGTGTTCTTCCCTGGTATCTCAAAGACTGAGCACTGATCAGTGTTCGCGGGTGATTGAGAAAAATATCTCAATGCAGGTAAAGAAGAAAAAAGGTATTTTCCAATACGTCTATAAGTGGATGTGAAATATACTCACTTTTCAATTCTAAATTAACCTACCCACCTAACTGAGTGAGCCACAATGTATATACTTTCCAGTAGTACAATGTTTCTTGTACATTGCTGATTACTATCCTTCTAAACAACTCATGATATACAAATGGGTAAGAAATGAAGACAACAGAGAATTTTCACAGTGGTGAAATTCTTTTATTTCATGGGAGTTCACAATGAAATTGGGCTGATTTTCAGTTTCAATATTCACTAAAAATTAATTATCAGGTTTGTTTCGAGGGATATATTTCATTTCTGAGCAGTAGGCTGAAGTAACAGCAACAGATCCTTTTAGCTGCCAGAGATCTTATGGACCATTTCTTAGGCAATGTGATATGAAAAGTAAGATTTTAAACAAATGGGTTTCTATCCTTTGCCATTTCATTGTGAGTCCTTACTGAGAAGCACCACAGACTTCAATGCACCCCTTCCAGAGATTCAGATACAAGTGTTACTGAACCCTGCTGATTCATACAGTGATTTTGTTTAATGCACATAGTAGTTGCATAAATATATATAAAAATATATTTTTTTTTATAGCTAACACAAGGCGGGCTTTTGTGACTGTTAAGACTGCATTTTTGTCATCCAGACAAAGGAAATGGATTGCATTACTGCATATTTCCACTGAGTTGTAAAATAATCCTTAATATTAGAATATTTTTATGTTGTGTAGGGAAGGTGGTTCATGTAGTTGCAGTGCCATAACCTTTCTGCCTATTGGAACCACTCTTTCTTTAATATCGACCCTTTCCCTCCCTGTATAGGGGAAGACAAGACTATAAATTCACCCTATCAATCAAAAACAGTTACTCCTTTCATGGAAGGGGTTAATATACACTGAGACCCAGATCTTCCATGAGGAGTGGGAACATAAATACTTTAATGATCTGGGCCTGAGCTATTAAAATATTAAATTCAGGTATTGTATGTAGATTTCATCATAGTCATTGACTATCAAATTTTTTACATACTGTACAAGGCACTTGAATCATTTTGAAGTGAGGTATACAAAATTTGCAATTTCAGATCTCAAGCAGTAAAAAAAGTTGTAGATACCACCTTAATAGTACAGTTATTTACATTTCTTGTTGATGCTTGTATGGTCTAAATTTGATTACTTAATGGTGTTTAAAAAAAAACCACAAACCACCACGATTTTTACTTGTTATTTTGTTCAGTAAATAATACAATACTGTATTTTCTGTATTCTTTTATTTTGTGTAACACACTTTTATTTTCATCTGTTTTAAATCATCTAGCGTGAGATTGAAACTGTTCAAAACCTAACTGGTATTAATCTGAAGGTACTAACAAACACATTGTCTTGAAGCCTGGTGAAAAGCCTGTGGCAAGTATTCATTTCAATTTGTGTGGGTCTGCTGAGCCCTGTTTCTAATAGGCTGGGAGTAAATTGCAGGCTGTTAATTCTGATAGCAATAACCAAATGTACGCATATATATATCTGGTGACATTCATTTTTATTAAATAAAAAGGTATCAGTGAAGATCATTTAGACATGTATTTGGTGTGCAATACTTATCATTAGTTTTTCTAGGAATCTTGGAAGTCATCAGCTAGGGTTCATTGGCCAAATGAAGCAATTGTAGAGCTTCCATTTGAAGCATGCTGGAATCCTGTTTGAAATAATTTTTATTTCAGAGCACATCTTGGCAAATTATACTGAGAAATTTACAAAAATCTACACAGTACTGCAATAAGTTCAAAGGATATTTCATATAAGTAAAGAAGATTTATATTATTATGGGTTTACAGATCTGCACTTTGGCTGATTAACTCACGTTTTTCATGTTTTTACCCATGTATGTAATACATGTCATGCAATGGAGCTGACAGAATGTTTGTAACATGATTAGACAAACACGACAACAATTTTAAAATCTGGTATTTTGATTACTTTTGTTTTAAGGCCCTCTTGCACAGTTGAAGGATGTTTATTAATATTTGCAAACTAACAAAAATTTCATACTCCTTCATAAAATAGTAACAGTTATTTCTTTCACTCTTTGTCCACTTCTCATAATTTGGCAGCAGATTCCACTGGTCTGTGGGGAGCATCATAGTGTACTTCTTTTGATTTTTGCCATGATGTTATATGCTATGGATTATAAGATGATGAGGTGCTGGGTTTATTTAATAAGACTGATAGGCATATGCTTATGTCTGATAAGAACTGAGACCTGAAGAGAAA